TGTGAATGCTGCTGGGATTATGGATGTGAGTGCTACACTTGGTCTGGGGAAGATAGCCTGAATGCAACATATGGGAGATTTGCTCTCTGTTGCAAGTAGTAGCATTGCTCCTGTCCTTTGGCACTTGCTGTTTTGCTGTTTTCCATGGTCATGAACAGCTGCACTCTTCCATGTGCCACTCTGCCTTAGAGCCAGCTGAGTATGGACTGAAACATCAACAAACTGTGAGCTGAATAAACCTTTCCTTCCTTAATTTTGGGTGTCAGGGATTTTGTCACAGCAATAAGAGAAGAGTGACTGAGATACCCTCTGAAGCTATTTCTCATCAGAAGAGAATTGTATTTTGATAGCTTTTTTCTTTTCAGAACCAAGGATTGAACTCCCTCCTTGCGCTTGCCAGGAAAGCTATCTGCCCAGCCTCATTTTTTAAAATTAGGTTTTGAATGGAAATATTTGTACGAATTTAGGGATCAAATTTTGGAAAAATTTGAAATCATTATGTGGTCTGTAACATGCTACACTGTACATATACTTTCATTGCAAAATTATCACATATAAACTCTTGAAATTCTTTATAATTCTTAAAAAAATAAGATATTAATTCTTATAAATTGAAGAATGTTAATATTATAATGCCTCAAATTGCATTCTTTATCAAAATAATAGGATATGTGCAATTGGTAATTCATTCATATAATCCATATAGTCTATTTTGTTTCCTACTTTATAAAAGTTTTAGAAAGTTAGTTAAAAAATTACTAATGTAAAGTCAAATCTAAAGTGATCAAAATGTTAGTATCATTTTACAAATATTTTAAACTATCTTTAAAAAGTTACCCCATTTTGTATCAAGAACCAGTGCAGCAAGTTTGTCTGGTAGAATTAAGTTTCCTCATCAAAATAATGCATAGTTAATGTTAAATTTCATTTTAAGTACCTTTTAGCTGTAAAAAAAAAAAAAAAAAAACACACACTTATGATCAGAACATGAGATTTAATGAGTGAAGTCCATCTTCACTATTATAAAAACTCTTCAAGAGTAAAGAAGGCATAACACTAATACATATGTTATATGTTAATTAGCATTCATAGGTAGTTGGTGGAGAAAATTTATCACAAAGTGTACAAGGCCAAGGGCCATCCAGATAGCTCAGTGGACTAAAGCACCTCCTTAGGCAGAGCACAAGAGCCAGGGTTCAATTTCCGTAGTGTTGAGATGGTGACTGAGACTAGGCTTACTGGTGCACACTTGTAATCGCAGTGCTTGGGAGACCAAAAACAGAAGAATCACTACAAGTCCAATCTACATAGTGAGACCCTGTAGACCCTGTCCTAAATATATAAAAAAGTATACAAGGCAAAATTCTGACATTATTATTATTTTCTTATTATTATTAAATCCTGGTTATAGTCTGTCTCAGTTTGTTGTAAATATAATCCTGACTGTGGATTTGTTTCTTTGGTTGTGCTTCATACTCTATATCCATCAGTGTATCCCAAGCTCTACAGACATCAACAGCAATTTCCATGTGGAACCAGGTAAGAAGGAGTAGTAGAAATCCACAGTGAAGGTGATGACTCTAAAATCATGACTTGAAACACAAAAAATGATCATATTGTGTTAGTATTTCCTAAAATAGTTAAGGCACAGAATCTTAAACAGTTGGGGCTGGGGAGATGGCTGAGCAGAATGAGCAGTTTCAAATGCAAGGGCCTGAGTTCAACCCCCAGTTCGGAAAAAAAATCTTAAACAGTTATTAATGTAGTTATAGTGCATAAGATGTCTGTCTATTCAATGCACCAGCCCAATGTCAAAGCAGAGATGTACCTTATATTTTATAAAGCAATTTAGCCACCAAATTTTCCAAATTTAAAAATAGCATTAACATGTTAGTCATGTTCTTATTAATAATGCAAGAGGATGTTTTAAATTATAAATACACTTCAAACTAAAAGCACTGGTTTTCAGTCAAGATTATATTTAGAACACATGGATTCTTCCAAGAGCTTCAGTTGTCTTTACTGTGAAATATCCTTATCATTCAAGTCATGCTTAAAACTGCAATCTAAAGAAAATTTTTTATTCAAGCCTTCATGAATAGGCAAAATTTTGTGAAAATATCTCTGGGTCTCCATATTAGATCTTCACTGGGATTCAAAAGATCCTCTGGAATATTATATCAGAGAAATGACATATTTACTCATACAGTACAAAATTTAACATATTATTTTCTCAAATAATAAAATTTTAGATAGCTTTCTAATAAATGCTAGCCATTGAAAAGACACTAAAAATCATATTGAAATATGGTATTGTCACAGTGACATTTCAGATAAATGACGTAGAACAAGAAGTTTATCAAGGTCAGACTGAAAAACCCTGGGGAAAATGCCACAGGATCTAAAAGGGAAGATGACATAGCTAGTGTCTCCAGCATAAAAGTATTAAGTGACCAAAGGGCTAGGAAGATAACAGAAACAGTGTTTTCCTTCCAGTAAACCATGAAGTATGAACTTAGGTACAATGTAGTCTGGACAACAACAGGGGTAAGGATTGGAGTGTGTAGGGAGATGCAAATAGATGCTCACAAAGCTTTAAGGCACAAGAGAGATGATTTCTGAATTCTCTGAAGAGTGATTTCCTCCATTAATATTTGAATTTTAACCCAACAATACAATTATTTTTTAATACTACCAAACCTATTATGGTAGCAATGCAGGTCCCGGTCTCTTATTCAAAGCTTGTGGGGAATGTGTTTCTGATGTCTTAAGACTTTAGACAGACAAAACAGCACACATGTCAAAAAATGATCAATATATCACATATCCAATGGGCTAGGTAGCTTTCTTCTATAATCAGGCCCATTTTCTGAGCAAAACATGTAATTACTTAAGCAAAATAGGGTAAAGAAAAAGCATAAAGTACTTTTTTTTTTATCTTTTTCTACAAGTAGCTTCCAATTATATTCCACTAAAAAAACTGGCTACATAAGGGTTTGCTAACAAAATTTACCAAACCAAAAAAAAAACAACCATCTGTTTGTTTCTGGAACATTTTAGATAATAAAACTGCTTTTAAGGTATTGAAGAGGTATAGCCTAAAACTAAACAACCTAAGCTACAATAGCAAGAACAACAACAACAAAAACCTCTCCAAGATCTATACTCTAGGTTATATTATTGAAATGATTCATTAAATCAAACAATTTGATTTGAAATTCTATATGAAGAACATTACAAGAAATATGGTAAGGCAAAGTCTTAACTAGGGAGGACATTTACACAGAAATGGCCTCCTGCACTTATGTGACAGGGACAGAGGACACATGGGTTAATGGCAACAGAATTCTTCCACAGGGCTGAGCTCACGGTAGGAAAATGAATAGGAGAAGGGAATATGGACTTCAGTCCTATGTGTGAGGGAACAAAGTATCTGAACTTGGCAGCTGAGTCATAAGTGTTCCTCCTTCATCTGGGTCCTGCTCACCGCAGTAGCTAAAGGACACTCAGGGCTGGGTCTGGTGAGGAGATTGCGTACAACTTTAGGCCCCTTCCTAACTACCCATCACCTGTCTTGCAAAGAAAGAAACAGGGCTGAAGCATAAATAGGCAGGAAAAACAGAAACTTCTCCCTTTTGATGGAAGTCTGAATTACTCCAAGGAAAGGAAAAAATGCCACTTTTAAGGAGACTTAAAACTAAAGGAATGTCTTTAAAAAACATGAGTATAAAATGTGGTGTATACATCAAAGGCAATATTGCTTGGTGTTAAAGGAGGGTGAAGCCATGTCATTTTCAGGAAAGTGGATGGAACTGTCACTTTAAAGGAAACAAACCACACTCGGGAGAGACAAATATTGGGTGCGTAGTCTCCTCTGTGAAGTCTTTTACAAAATTAAAAGTAGGTTAGGCAAAAGTAGAAGAGAGACCTACTAGAGAAGAGGAAGGGAGAAAGAAGATAAGGAGGTGAATAGAGGGGGTTAAAAGACCAAAGGATGTTACATAGTCCCACAAATATGCCAAGACAGGATCCACTATTTTGACGGTTTAATAGGCATTGATTACAAAAACAAAAAGAAAAACAATACATAGACCCATGCAAAAACCAAAATTGAATGTAGGCTTTAATTTGGTGGCAAGAGAAGCAAGGAAACCAAGAAGAATTTAAGTATGATTAACAAAAATGAAATGAAGGAAAATGCTAGGCAGAACAACATCAACAAAAAAACATCACACAACACTGTTTAGGTGGCACCACGGGGCCTAGGCTTGGTTCTGACTATGTTTATCAGAGCTGGATCTAAAACACTGTGCACAGAGATCTTTGGTCATTTCCTAACCAACTTAGGTATATTTCCCTACACACACGCTATGCATATAAAAATAACGACATGTAAGCCAAGCATGATGGTGCGCGCCTGTAATCCCAGGACTAGGGAGGCTGATGCTGGAGGATCTTGTGAGTTCAAGACCAGCCTGCGGTACTAAGTGAGCTCAAGGCCAGCCTGAATTGCTATGTTAGACCCTGTCTCAAAGAGATAACATATAGATAGATGATAGATAGATAGATAGATAGATAGAGATATGATTGGAATCAGACATTGGTAAAATTAACAAACACAAGTATGACTCCTCACAAAAATGAGAAATGTAATCACACTAAAGCTCATTTATTAGTGGTGTTATCCGTAATACTGTCTGAATCTTAGTATTCATGCAGTTTGTGCATGTTCTATAATGTATCATAAAATATGAAAATTTCTAATGATGACTTCTTCCTCAGAAATATACTAAAATAGCTATGATCATCTGTTACATTTTTCATTTTCCACTAGAGAGAATTTTACTATTTTTAAGAAAATCGTCATTGGACAGAGACACGTATTAGGTTGGATACATCTTTCACTCTCCACTAGAGAGAATTCTATTATTTTTAAGAAAATCACAGTGGGACAGAGAAGCCCATGTCGGGCGGCATGGCGGAGCTGGAAAATTACTTACAGTACACATCCACTCTGATGGACTTTATTGCTGGAGAGCCCAAGCCGTTCTCTGCCTTGCAGTAATACCGGCCTCCTTGGTGGCGCTGAATGTTCGTAATCCGCAGAGTCTCGTTGAAGACACTGGAGTCCTGGAATCTGTCAGAGGCACTTCCTGCTGTTTTCGTCCACCTGATCTGAGCAAGCATCGGAGGAGATTGTTACTTTAGCTTGGTTTCCCCCCAGGAAGATCAAATCGTAGTTACTCATGGGAAGATTGCTTTCCAAGCCACTACACTATCTTTGCTCTTAAGTTACTGAGATCTTCTCTACAAGTATACACAGAATTGCTGTGTAGCGAGGTAACAGAAAAGCCACCAGCATAGGGTACCTGCTATTCAGCCTCATTCACACAGGATCCCTTACAGTCTGATCAGTGTAGAGAGGAACAGAAGGTCCAACAGAAAGGAAGTTAAACACCAGCAGTGCATTAGAAATTGATAAGGGCAGATGAGATAGCTCAGTGGACTAAGTGCCTGCTTTGGCAAGCTCAGGCACCAGGTTCGATCCCCTTTCCAGCATGCTGTGCCAGCTCTGTCCCCAGGGCCCGCTGAGCTAGTGACCAACTCCAGGAGTGGTGGTGCACACCTGCAATTCCAGCACTGGGGAGGCTGAAAACATGAGCGAGAACCTGTACCAAATACATAGAAAAAAAGATAAAATAAAAAGAAATAAAAGAAATGGATGCTTTCCTGTCTGTGCAGCATTTCAAGTTGTCTTTAACAATTTTTAAACTTCGCAAGGTATTTGTACCCTAAGTAAACTCTCACTTCTTTCTGGATGTGTTTCATTATTTTATTTTAAATTTCCGATTTGATTTGGATCCTTCAGGCATATTATCATAATGGCTTATTGAGATTATGTGTAATTGTATACACCTGGTTCTTAAAAGAGATTTATTTTTCTTCAATAGCTTTGCTTTAATAAGCCTACAAATGATTTGTCTGTTTTGATAATTAGAATTCACTTTACATCAATGATTATTTTCAGAAAAATGTGTAAACTTTTTCAAGAAGAGCATTTCTATTAAACTGCCAAAGCACTTTGAATAGCTAAAACATTTCATTATAAACAATACCATTCTTTTAAACACAGCTGTGTGCCACAGATTTCATTTTTTCTAGCAATAATGACTGGCATTCAACTTAAATTTTGTGTATTTTAGTTTATAAAAACCAGGACAAAAACTATAAGCTGATATGGTAAAATGATATAAAATAGCAAGTAAAAACAAACTTTCTTTCCTCCTTATCTCAACTGAATAGTTTTCATTTTTATTTTGAAATTGAGAAACAGCTAATAAATTCCTCCAGTCAAACATATATGATGAAACTCAGAGAGTAAAACTAAAGAATAAAATCCACTACCATGATCAGAGTCTTCATGAAACGCACATTCATTATTTACTGATATGGAAATTTTTAAAAAGCTCTCTGCATCATTAAAATTATCATAATGAATGTAATTATATTTCCCTTAACTTTGACTAAAGGAAAAATGTTTCTTAGAGATTAATAAGCAAAAAGCAATATTAAATATTTAATCAACATGTCCTGTATACATATAATATACAAAGAGTAAGTAACAAAATTCTAGCTTTCAAGTAGCTTATTAGTTTATCAGCTCAATGTCTATAAAAATAAAAGGTATACGTAGGTCATGTGATTTTTTTCTAACTTGGTTTTTGTTTACTTGTTTTGCAGTCCTGGGATTTGAATCCCTCCCTTCTCATTTAGCAATGTCCCTAGCAAAGTCTGAAAATTTTTTTTTTCTGAGAGAGGGTCCCCCTAAGAGCACTGATGTTATAAGTGGGCAACATCACAGTGGTAATGACTTGATGCTAGTAGTATTTCCTTTACAAAACTAGGGTTCTATTTTCACTTAATTTTTTTTTCTTTTTTTCTTTTTTGGCGGAATCAGGGATTAAACTCAGGACCTTGCACTTGCCAGGCAAGTGTTTATTCTACTGAGCCAGCTCCCTGGCTCTGTAGAAAGATATTTTAATTCCTTTAAGAAAATATGTATCTCAGCCAAAAATCTAAGATTGTCTATGATTCCAATTAAGGTATCATGTTTTCTTTCAATATTACAATGAAATATTAAAGTCGGGTGTGGGGAGATAGCTCTGCGGCATAAGTGCCTGCCAGGCAAACACAAGGATCCAGATTCGATCCCTGGTACCACATGCCATGCTGGCCTTGGAACCCTGGGCACACCGTGCCAGCTCCAAAACTGTGCATTGTGCTGCAGGCCTGTAATCCCAGCACTGGGGAGGCTGAGACAGGAGGATCACTACAAGTCAGAACTGTGTAATGAGACCATATACCAATAAATAAACATAAATAATTAAATTTTTTTTACAAAAATATTAAAGTTGATTTTGAAAAAAAAAAGTTTCAGAATATAACAATAAGTTCAGGAAATAAAGAGTTACAGAATAGCCTAATTCTTCCAAATGTGGAGAGTACGTTATTGACACACAATAAGGGACCAAGGAGATAGCTCAGCAGCATAAGCACCTGTCTAGTAAATGAAAGGTCCTGAGTTCCATCCCCAGTACACCCCACTGGAAAAAAAAAAAAAAGAAAAGAAAGAAAAATCCTACAAAATAAATTAGTAGGAGGACAGGAGGATGAGGTGGAGAAAAAGACAGAGACAGAGACAAGTCAACTGATACAAGTCAACTATTTTAAGTTGACTCTAGAATATTTTTACATTCTTCATAATTAGTGAGGATCTCAAATAGTTTTTGTTTGTTTGTAATCCACTTATTCATAATTATAGCTTTAGAAATAAAAACATGTTAAACTATGTACTCTCTTATATTATAATAACAAACGTATGGCATTTTACCATAAGCAACATTTTAAATCAGAAAAAATATATTTTCCAATGCAAAAACAAAAAGTAGCACTGGTTTACAGCTCTACAAACCTCTTCAGCATCTAGTTTAGGGCAACAGCACCCGGTGGATTATCATATGACTTTCTGTGTCCAAGTATTGCTGTGTGGTGCTTTGTTTGCTATACATGAAGATCTCATCTCACACTGATATTTAGTCAGAAAGGAGAATATTTTACTGACTTTTCATATAATTATACACGAACTTCTTTGAGATAGATTAAAACTCTACAAGGTTGTTTCTGAAACTTTCTTTTGAAGAGCATAGTATAAAATATCAATGAAATTCCTATATTCAGTGACATTTAAACTCTTTGGTATATGTTGTTCTTTCAACTGATTTGTATATTCATGAATGGTTTTGTAAGAGGGCATATTTCCAAATAATAATTTGGAAAACAAATTAAAAGAGTTATGAAAATTTACCAAATGGTCACAAATTACACTACATATGACACTACATATATTTTATATGTTTATGTGAATATAAAGATGGTATACATCATATATAAATATACATGTAGATGTAAATACAGATACAGACTTAGACATGGATGTAAATGTAGACACACAGATATAGACGCCAACGCAGATACAGGTACACAGATACAGAGTTAGGATGAGTTTCACCATCAGCCTCATCAGAAATGCGTGGAAACATCAGGATACCATTCTGTTTATATTGGAAGATTTTTCCAAATCCTATATTTTCTTTGAAAATAATTATGTAATTGATCATAACTAATTTCAAGCTTTTTGGTGTATTTTATTGATTTTTGAAATACAGTTGTCAAATAGTTCAATGACCATGGCGTATGCAGCAATCATTTTAGATAAAAACTATATTTTATGAAAAGCAATTAGTTTAGCACAAAACTCTCCTATGCAAGACTTTTTCCTTCAGAGAACAGCTGTCACTTTACTAAGCAATAGAAATTTTTTGTAGATAACTTTTTATCCTATCAACAGAACATTTGAAGAATTCAAACATTGTGCCAGGTGTGGTAGCACTTGCGTGCTTTGGCACCACTTGGGATGCTGAGGTAGGAGGATCTCTGAGAGTCTGATATGAGCTTGGGCTCATATGCATTCAAGGCCAGCCCAAACTACACAGCAAGACCCTGTCTCAGAAATGAACAAACAAAACATCAAGGTTCTAAGGTGGAAGAATTGATCATTCTCATTGACTTATCAAAGGTATCACATTGACTTTTTTAATGTAATCTAGTGAAGAATATGAAGATTGTAATTAATTGTTATTAATTTGGTGACTTTTTTTTTTCTTTTTGCACCACATGTTAATCTATCACTGATTTTCACCATTACTGAAAATGCAAAACAGTGAAATGATATCATTTTTCTTAATAATTGTTGTAAGGATCATATAACCGCCACCATTCCATGGATCTATAGATGCTAAGGACCACCACACATGTGCATGTATGTGTGTGTGTGTGTGTGTGTGGTTGTTGTGTCTTATATCCTGATGTCCAATCAGCCTCATGTGTTCCTAGGTAGGGCACTGGGGAGCTGACTGGAGCATGGGTGTGTGAGGTTCGATTAGGCCACTTGGGGATTCATAGCAGGGTGTGGTGCTGGGAAGGAAAGCCTGCTGGGAGCAGGTAGGTCACTGTGGGTCAATGTGGGTGTGCTCCAAGGAGAGATGAGTCCATAGGTAGGTAGGCAGATAGACAGATGGTGATAAGATAGTTAGATAAGGTAGCTAGATAGAATAGCTATAGTTATAGCTAAAGATATAGATATATCTATCTCTATATAGATACAGAGATATAGATATAGATATAGATATAGATCAGGCAAGTACTTTTAATGAATGTACTGTTAAACACAAATAGAAATTGAGGATAAAAAGAAATACAAATGGGCAATTTGTATGTGAAAAGATTAGTAAACTTTTAATGTAATAATATAACTAGAATTGAGAAGAAATACATTTTTATCTGGGAGCTAGAATACTAAGAATTTTGCATATTGTTCAAAGTTCACAGCTGACACTGCAAGAATACGTTGGCACCACTTTTCTTTTTGGAGAATTTTATGAAGTCTGTAAAAAAATGGCAAAATTTGTATTTGGCCTAACAAGTATGATTAAAATTTATTTCACTCACATACTTGTGTAAGAAGAATATAGGAAAATGATCCTACTACATGTGTGATAATATGCCACTAGAAACTATAAATATCAAGTAATAGAGGAATGTTTGAAAATATGGAC